CGCATAGTTGCTTCTATTTGTGATAAATCTCTCTCTCCAGAGAACAGTAAACTTTATTTTGCTTTCGCAGAAATCTCGTAAATGCAGGTAGAAAATAACCACATTGTTTTCGAGAAAACAGAGGTGAAATCAGTTGAACGAATTTGGTTTTCAAATTTGTGACGTTTTGTGCCATAAAAGGCAGTAATAAGCTTGTGTGACTGTAGTTTGTTTTACCAGACCGAGAATTGGGAAAGTAAACAAATAGCTATATGAGAACCTGCGGCACGCTGTCACTTTCTTCTGCCACACAGCATATGAAAGATGTCCAGACAAGTTCTAGCTAAAGTTGATTCTGCTGGGTGCAAGCAGCCGCACTCACAGCAGGCCATCGATCGGCCTACACGAGGCGAACGCATACAGGCAATCAATAATCCAAAATTTAAACTGCATTCAACCGCTGAGTTACAGCCAATTGTTCCGGTAGCCGAGCCAGAACAAAAGCTGATTGGCTCGATGGATCTAGCTTACACTCTTTTGTCGACCTAAATATATTGTACCTTTTTCCCTCAAAGAGACTTGTGCTGACTTGCTTAAAGTGCCTGTCTGAGTAAACGCACTCTCTCTCTCTCTCTGGCCGGCTGGTCTTTTCTCTGTCTCTCTCGTATGGGCTCTTTGGTTCGGCGTTCGTGTTAAGTGGAAGTACCAGAAGCGGGTCTTAACAGATTCTGAACGAATACGTAAACTTGAAGTGGAAAGACCAGAAGATTAGCAAACGACTTATATTCGGCCACCTTGTTGTTTATATTCAATCCTAGAACGGGCCCAACAGTAAAGAAATATAGGGAAAATCGCTCCAATATAACACTAAAAGTGAGTTCATTCATTTTCAGCAGAAAATTTACCACTTATTTTGAGGAAAGCCAAAAACCGGTCAAACTTCGCCATTTTTACCTTGACCTACCTTTCGAAAAAAATGTTAGGCACTCATATTTTTCTTAGTGGCCTTAGTCATGTTATTTTGTGCTTTTTGTTATGGACGTTAATTATTCCCGTAAATGGGTGAGCCTAAAAAGATGATCCAAGCGGTCAGCTCCTTCGGAAAGCATGCCCAAAAACTAATTACTTCGGAAAATGTTTTTAAGAAATGTCCTGTTTTGAAGGTTTTGATAAACACGTAGAACAGAGAGGACGGCAATAGACTGAAGACACTGAAAATCGAAGTGTTCACCATTTCGAGGACGATCAGAATATCGTCGTAATCGAACACCCGAAATAATTACAGACAAGCGTTACAGAAGGAAGTTTCTCTTAAAATACAAAAATGGCATGTTTACGATTGTAATTGACAATGCAATTTAAATGTATTCATCACTGACCGACCTGTTTACATGTAAGCTTACGGAATATCTTATGTCTGTTACGTCCCTATCCGCACAATCGAGCGAAAATATGTTTGTCTTAGTCCACAACTATGTCAAACACTATAGAAACTAAATAAAAACTGCCATTCGCGTGAAACTGTGACACAATATACATCTTTAAAATATGGCTTGTCTATTGACTGCCACACATCATATTACATATAGTTTGGGAGAATATTTCTGTGCTAAATCCACCAAAGAAGTATTTTCAAACGCAGTGCTATTTGTGCTGCTTTTTCACTCGTTTGTTGCATGGATAGGCTTTTTGTATATTTAAAACGTAGGTGTACTTAGTTTCCCTATTAATTCACGTGCTCGGAATATACCGTTGTTTTAAATAAGTTTTTCTGCAGAATGTAATATTCACTTATAAGCCACGCTATGCCTTATTTTTGGAAATCATCCTTTCAGTACTGCTGTAAGGCGCTGGGGGAGGCAGGGTGGTCTGATTTAGCATAAAAGGGATTTTCTAGTGAAATTCGTGAGATTTCTGCAATTTAATGTAAGTCACAGCTAAGGGACGCTGGTGCAATGAAGACTATCAGTAGGGATTAACGACAGCGGCAAACGACAAGAGGCAGGGGCTTAGCAACGAAAATTGCCAGTGCTATGACACTTTTCATGTTATCCTCACAGATGGACCTAAAACAGCGCGTGCCAAAGCTCCTAAAGATAAAACCCCCACGGACTTTGTGAAAAGTGGCCACGAATAAGATTATAAATGCGAGCGGAGGCCTGGCTGCAGTCGTCGGTTTGAAACCAAGTTGGGCCTCGAGTTTTTCACAATTGGGTCAACTCAAATTAAGCAAATCTGCCAAACTTCCTAATAATTAAGTCAGCCTAGTAGTCATTCTGGTGGATCCCAGATGATTGCTGAAGAAATCCTGCTTGGGCAGTCAGCTTGCTGTTCTGTATTGGTGGATTTCATACGAGCGGCGAAGTTGGGGGGGGGTAAATCGACCCAAGTGTGATTAAATTCATGGCGCGAGGTGGGGCGTTTGTAGCTCAATTGGTCAGAGCGTTGGCTTCCGGTAAAGGCCTTCTCTATTATACGGGTTCGAGTCCCGCCGAACGCCTCGAGTTTTTTCACAATTGGGTCAGTTTAAATTAAGCAAATCTGCCAAACCTCCAAATAAGGAAAGGAAGATATAATATCGACTCTCGCCATCTCAGAGAACACAAAAATTTCGACGGACATTCGAACGGACAGAATATTTAGCACTCGATGCAACGTGAACTTTTTGAGGATAGAACTCTATACAACTCAGTAGGTGTTTGGCTACTATCGAGGACTCGTTTTCAACATATCAAGAGAATAATTTGGGAAATTATAAAGTGCATGACATGGAGTTAAGTAACCGGGGCATGGCTTTGTAGGATCAGACCCGAAATTTCCATGAAATGAAACACGTGTCTGGGTTTCTGGCTTGTACCTATATCGACAGTACAATATAACATCTTTGCCACTTAGATGTACACCTGATACAGTGAAGTGCATGCTCAAAGGAAAAATATAAGTTAAAATAGTGAAACATTAAGCTAGCCTCGTTGAGGGTTGGAGCGAAACACCGGACAACGATACGAAAAGTTTGAATTATAGATAAAGATGGCTAAATTTTAAAACGAGATATGAGCGTGCCGTTCGCCCCCTGAAACGACGTCAGCTATTTCCAATTGTAGACGGAGCAAAATGAGCCCTGGGATAAACCGACTGGGAACCAGTTCAAACCTCAATTATTTTCAACTCAAGGTTGGCGTACGATTGGCTGAATACCGCAAGTCCACTCTTCACCGTCTTTGTCGATTATACTAACCTAGAACTGTTAAATTCGCCAGGTCAAAGTCTCTCCTCCAGTTGTGATACTTAAAGTAGTTCGTCAGCTGCAAATGTACAACATTCTTTCATTGAAAAACGTAGAAAGTCGATACTGGCGCCTAGTGAGATCCCACAAGCCTATAAAGATTAAGCAATCGAGGATTGTGTGGTCAGACGCACAACGTCTGAAATTATAGTGACTAAAGTTGGGGAAAAAAGGACAACAATCACTTCAGTTTTAATAGACTCTTAGGAAGCAGCATACCTTTGCCTAAAGTGGCCGCTGACGCACAAGTGGTTGATTCAAATGCAATTGAAAGCATCGATTCTTCGTTCGGGGGGTCCTCGTCAGTCTGCTTTGGAAAGACAGGGTTCGCAAAGGTCCGCAGCAAAGGGATATTGTTTTTCCAGCTGTGGGCACCGCTAGTCCCCTCCTGCTGTTCGGGCTTAACGTCAAATAAATCTAGCAAGAGGAGAAAAATAGAAAGGCGTGTACACACAGTCATTTCATGCAAGTACCCACAGAGACCAAAAATAACTTCCGGGATAACCGAAATTG